TTGCGTACTAATGCTCAGTTCACACCAACGGCGCTTTGATCGCGCTTTAAAGCGGCGTAAAAAGCTGTACCAAAGCGTAACAAAGCTCGACTAATAGATCTTTGGAAAGCTTTGAGCAAAGCTGGATATTCGGCAAGAGCGCCAAAAAATTTTAAACTGTTTAAAAATTATGGGCGCTCTGTCACGAATTGATTAAAGCGCCGAGAACGTATCAAAGCTTAACAAAGCGTAACAAAGTTCAGCAAAGCTTGACTCAAAGCATAGGAGAGCTTAACATAGCTTTATTCAAAGCGAGGACCCCAGTCTTCACGGTCTGTCACCACTTGATCAAAAGCGGCATGAAATCGGCCATTTCGGAATTTTCCAATGCGTAACAGAGCTTAGCAATGCACAACAGAGCTTGATAATCGTATCAGAGCGTGATTTAAAGCGTCATAACCGCATCAAAGCTTAATAAAGCTTATCAAAGCGTGATTTAAAGCGTAACAAGGCCTGATCAAATCGGGAAATAATTCGTCCCCAAAGCGTAACCAATTCGTATCAGAGCTTATCAGAGCGTAACATTACTTAGGAGATCGTGATATTTTTGGAAAAGTAAACAAAAAATGATGGCGCTTTGCTCGCCGATTTAAAGCGCAGCATTCGCCGTTGGTGTGAACTAGGCATAAGGGGCGAATCGTTTGCCCATGGCTGTCCCTGAAGTTTGTAAATATGTTTTACCATTAAATGTTAAATCGTTTCGACTGATACAAATCTCTAAAAGCTGCAGAATTGCATCGTCGGGTCTGTTTGGATCTGGGTTTCTATTAAAAGCTTTACGAACTGCCGTTACACCAGCAGTGTTATCGATATTGGAATACATAGAAGAAACGTCGATATAAATTAATAGCATTAGAGGGAACTCGAAGATTTTTTATTTTATTGGCAAAATCGGTTGTGAAGGCGCGATGTTGACATGCTAGTAAGAAATGATCAATGTATTCTGACACTGCATATGACTCACTACCACAGTCAGATATAATCGGGCGGCCTTTAGGGATTTTATTCGAGATAAACCACTCCTTTGTTGGATTCTTATGGATCTTAGGCAAAGTGTACAAATGACTCTCACGAGGGTTTGAGCAGCGTCTTAGAGAAATGATGACAGTTGTTCGATGAGTTGTTGCTTGTTGGAAAATGTTGTATAATATTTGGAAGAAGATTTACCTATGAATTAAAATCCAAAGGACAAACGACATTTCTCCAACAATAAAAAAAAATGTTTTTAAGGTAATATTGAAACCACTCCTGGAGATATCCTCTGATTGCGAAGGCCCCAAGACTACGACAGATCCCATTAAGCCAGACTCAGTCCAACGCTTTACAGATGTCGCAGAATTGTCGCATCAATCATTGCTGATCGATGGCTTGACAGAAAAAGATCGATTAGTTGAATGTCCGTGCAAAAACACAATTTGTGATACTGGCCTATAGTTAGTACAGTTTTATGGATCATCCTTTATAGGTATTGGCTGATTTCCAGATAAAGGCACTTGTTTGAAAGAAAGGCTAAGATTGAATAAGTTACATAATGGGAAACAGATATCTCAGCTGACAGTAATTGTGCACTGATTTGATCAGGACCGTTAAATTTGAAGTATCAAGTGTTGTCTTTAACTTTCTGAGGGTGAGTTGAATGTGATTTAGTGAATTTGGGTTTTGCTCGAGAGAAGGAAGGAGTGTATCAGTGTTGTCTATTTGTAACTGTTTGGTTACTATATCTAATCATAGATTTTAATTACTTTTTTTTTTGGATTGAAGTCAAAATAGATATCTACAGCTATATAGCATGAAGCAGCTTGGAGTCATTTACTATCTTTACATACTTTTAAAAATGAAAAAGAAATGAAATGATATTTACATCATACTTTTGCACTTGATTGGCCTAATAAAGACGGACAACACCATGATAGAACTTGCCGAGACAGCCTTTTCTTATTGGAATTCCAACTGTCGAGGAGGGCATCTCCTTGCGCAGCCTGTATTACACGGGGTCTCGGTACTTTGTCCCGTCTAAACGAATAGACGCTCTTTTTCAAGTCACATGCATCGGATTTTAAAATACATTCAATTTTAACTCGATCAATACCAGGATCGAACCCAGGACCTTTATGTTGTTGAGCAAGCGACCATTTTTGTTTCATTTTGTAATAGTTTAATAACCAAAAGCAAAAAGTTCATCAACATATTACATAATAAAAATTTGTTACTAAAACCACAGAAAGCTTCAATTCAAAACATTATACTACTCATAATATTTAATTTAATCAACGTTTCAAAAAATTACACTGCCATCATCAATATTTAATCTCTACTCTAAAGATATTATTTAAGGGAGGTTACATTAACTAACTTATAACAATAAATAAAAAGGCCCCATCGGCAACCGCACTCGTGTATCTATAGGTGTTCAATATTTCACGAGGGGATTGGCGTCATACTGGAAAAATATATAGTTCCGACTGTATATAATATAATACGTGTAATACTGATAGAATTATAACATGGGTATGAATCTCTTAGTATCGAAAGCGAAATTCAAGAATTCGTTATAGATTTTATAAAACACTTAGTATAATAAAATTAACTCTTAAAAGAGTCACTGTATAAAAATTTGAATTAACAAAATATAAAATATAGCCTTTTATAAACTCTATGTTAATTATCTAACTGTATAAACTAGTACAAAGCAGGAAGGTCAAAACAATTAGAAAAAATATTAAACATCTAAATCTAAAACAATTACAAAAAAAATTTAAACAAAAATAATTCACGAAGAAAAAAAGAATTAAAATTGATAGTTGTTCTATTTATAAATTTTCAAATATATTTAATATAGGCCCAGATCTACAGACTGCATATAAAATTCACCATTAAACTAAAGTTAATGTTATTCGGGAAGAATAGAATTGAATAAGTTAAAGAAGTTGATCAGAAGGAGTGTCTTTGTTGTTACTGGGTGGTTGAGTAACTAGTGTTTCTTGTAGTGGTACATTGTTATTTACTGCTTGGTTTGCTCTACATCTTAACCTAAAAGTCATACAAGTAATATTTTTAAGCAACAATAATACAAATAAGTTAATTGGGAAACTGAGTTTAAGGGACAGTACGCCATTTTTGTGACCAATCATACTTTAGTCTAAACCAATCAGTAATAGTGCTCACAGCTCACCGTCGAAATTTGAGCCTTCAAATCAATGTGTGTCCAGAATTATCCGCTTTGAATGTTAAAATGACGACTCGCCATTTTAAGACATTCTGTGATATATAGAAATAGTAAGTTACATTCCTAGTTATGCGATTTTCGTACATTTCCAGTACTTCTGGAGACTATTTACATATATTCAAAACTTAAATCTACCCCCCAAAGTGGCACATCTGTCTCTTTAACACGCCGAGAAGCCCGATGAAAACGAGTTTCCAGGGGCGTAACTAAGGGTTTTTTTTCTATGAGGCAAAACATCATTTTGTCTTTAAAGTCAGAATTGTCTTACATCGCAATACTTTCAACAGACTTCAAACAGTAACAACCTTTACTGTAGACTCATAGATTCATAAAATAATCAATATATTTACAGGATATCATATTTATATTTTCAAGTTTTAAACAATTTATTGTTTGTTAAATTAAAGTTATTTTTATTGGTAACTAGACAACAGTAAAGTCTCAAAACAATACTTCTTAAGTATAGTCTTACCTTCGTCTTAAAACAAACACGAGTACTACAGCTACAGTAGCTGATACAATAATGATTACAAGACTTAACCAAATTGTTTGATCTTCAGTTCCTGTAAATTAAGCCAATAAGGGTCTAGTTCTAGCTTGTTAATACAATCTAAGCAAAAGATTATATATTGCAGTTAACCTCAATCTCAAAAGGCTATAGACCTGAAATTTAGCAACATTCCGAGAACTCGGTAATGAGAAGAGAAGGAATAATTTATCAATTGAAGATAAGAATGATATTTATAAACTTTGTAAAGATAGTTTTACTTATCAAATCAGGTTGTTTTCTATATCATGGTGGACACAAATATTTGATGAATGTTTTGATGCCCTTGTACTATGACTAATGACTATTAATTGGGTCAGATGATTTCGGACAGTTTTATTTAAAAACATGTTACCTCCATTGGCGTCTCCCGGGAATACAAGCGGTTGTTTAACAGTACAATCTATTCCTTGATATCCATCGGAACAGTTACAAGCTCCATCTATATTATTACACTCTGTTTCTAGTTTACAGAATCTTGATGAACAATTTAACAAACAGTCTTGTCCATATTTTCCATTATAGCATTCTAGAGAAAGAAAATATCAAAAAAGTTAATGTCGGTGGAGGTGAATGAGGTGAAGTTTAAAACCACACGATGGTGATACCGTCAAGTGCAAGCTATTACAGACAGGCGTTTATCGAGGCTATTCCTAGTTTTTATATCTTATAAATTGCTTTCTTAGAAAGCATATTACAGAATGACAACAATATCCAATCACGACCGTTAGCCCTCAGTGTCCATTCAATATTTTACCTCGTGTACAATCTATTGACTGGTATCCTGGTTGACATCCATCAATACATTCTCCTGTTTTACTCTCACATTGTAAATTACTATCATTACATTTTCTATCTGAACATTTCATATCACAAACTTCACCATAAAAACCTTCTGTACAACCACCTTGACAGCTACCATAGATATGATGACATGGTGATGTTTCTACTAAACAATTTCTATCTGAACATTGTTTTAAACATCCAGCACCGTATGTACCATTATCACATACTAGAAATGTTAAGCGAAAGAATTTATGGATAAATTGAAGCAAAGTCAAGTCAAAGGTTTACTGTGTTAAGTTGAAATTTGATAAACATAGTCTACTCTAGAACAAAGCAAAAAAAACTTTATTTTGACAAGAAAAATTCCCGAAGGACGGGCCCCCACTCATCTAGGTGAGCCACTGTCTACTATAAAAAAAATAGTAAAACATAAAACTTTACTTTGACTACAAGTTGTTCCTGTCCATCCATCAGAACAACCATTAGGACATTCACCAGTCTCTGAACATCTTTCATTATTTAAACAATGACAGAAGTTGTTACAATCTGAACCAAACGTTCCTACAGAACATACTGAAATGAAGAGATATTAAGAAATGGAAGATGTAGAAATTGAGAATTTTGCTCACGTCAGACCACTAGAGTACCGTCTCTTGCGATGGAAAGATTACCACGAGTTCATTCGACTACATTTTATACATTTAATAAAAATGAATAAAGTCTAACCATATATCTCCACTTCACATAATGTTAAATATCTTCCATTATGACTTATACGATCATTACTGATATTAACATAACGACCATATATAACATGACTACACTCTATATATTTAACAAATGGTGGCGTCGAACTCAGACCTTCTTTATAACATAGTTCTGGTTCTCCATTCTCTTTAGTAACATGTAGTAAAATTCCATTCACTGATGCTAAATCTGAAAACAAGATTTGTAAAATAACACCAATAACTGAAATCTTATAACAATGTTATTTATATATCACTGATATTTGACTATTTTTAGGGATGTTATATATATTTGATTATCAAAGTGAATGTTAATAATAATATTTCTCTACTCACCCTTTTCCGCTGAAAGAGAAAAACAAAATAACAATTACAATCATGTTGTAATAATAGATAAGTTCCCTTTTTCATTTCTAAATTAAAGATGTGTACCAACTTAGACCTGTATATTTGATACAAGACCTTGACCAGGAGCAAAACGTCCAGGTTTTATTCAGGTTAAGGTCTATGATATTCCTTTGTATCATGTGCTTTGGCATTATCCTAAACGGATTTGAGAATTTCGTGAATTTTGAAAGATGCGATAGAGACTGAGACTAGTATAGTTTGTAAATTTTGGACATTGTTAGTGAAAGACGTTAATCTTACGTTGGATGGTGATGTGTTTAATAGGATAATCTTCTTTTAGATCTATTCCCAACCATTTACCAGTTTTATTATAGTTATAACATTTGTCAGGTATATTAGTAGTTTTATCACCAGATTCTCTCTTTGTTCTGTTAGTCTCAACCTGACTTGCTGATTTATTTAAAGCTACATTCTCTATAAATTCTTTATATCATTATTAAAGGGGTNG